GCTGTAACAGCCTCCTGTGCCTCAGCAATGGGGATAGCCCATGGTGCTGGGCCATGTGCCACAAAATACCAGTGTGGGCTGCAGTGAGAAGGCCTCAGGTGAGCCAACACTGTGGTGTGGCTGCTCTGCACCACTCTATGTACAGTGCTGGCCTCTCAGCAAGCCCTGGAGGTGAGGTTGGCACAGGTGATGTCTTGTCCCAGCACACTGAGGTGTGCCAGTGCCCCCATCTCCTGGGGGACACCCAGTCTAGCTTCCCCCCTTCTCCATCCCCAGGACATCCTACAGCCCTGGCACAGGGATGGATTTGCTCCCTCTGCTGCAGAGATTCCCCTTCCTGTGCCAACACTTACTGGTTTTTTGATTTGCCCACAGAAATGCTGTCCTAATTGCTTGGCTTAATTTGTCCTTTATATCTGGAAAATCTCAGCACACGGACCTGACCCCAGGCCTTTTTCACCTGACTTCTGACCCTGCACCTCCCACCTTCTCCAGCTTCTCCATGCTGGCTGGTTTACAACGTTTTCCCTTGTGTCATTTCCATCTCCTGCTTGTCCTTGCTGGGCCAGACCTCTTGTGGGGGCAGCTGTGCTGGATGGGAACATCTGGAGCATCTGGTTCATGAGCAGAGGCACAGCTTCACTTGGAAAATACCTTCCCACTTATCATCAAAGGTGACATCTTCCAAAGACAAGAGCAAGGCAGCAAACATTCCACCAGGCATGGCTGAAAAGTAGCTAGGTGTGCAAGAGGCCGAGTATCCTCTTACTCCCTGATTTTCATTAGAAGAGGGGAGACAAACCTCTCTGGAATGTAACAGGAGTCACAGCTCTCAGACTGCAAGTGCCTCCAGCATTGTACTGGCCTCTGTCTTTGCCAAGAGAAAGTTAGTTGACTCTACTTTTAATATTAATCAATTTTGGTGGCTGTTTCTGATGAGATGAAGCCATGCAGGTAACAACTCAAAGCAGTCACTTTCTGCACTGAGCAAGGCCCGGTGGGCACATCCAGCTCACCAAAGACACTTTTTCCATTGCTTTCTGTTTGTATTGTCCAAAACACACCAGGAAATAAAAAAGAAAGCTCACCTGAAACCTTGAAATCTTGTCTGCCATCACAGGCTGTTGCAGAGACACTGTTTAGGCTTATAATAGCAAAAAGAGATTTCAAACACTTGAGAAATAATAGCAAAACATCTTTCTCCTAAACGTGATAATCCTTTACTTTCAAGTAAATAGTCTCATATTGGCTGTTATCAGTCCTTCAGAAATCCTCCAGCAAAATCAAGGCAAACAGTGATGCATCAAGCTGAAAAATGTTTAATTCAACAGGTAAGTTGCTTTCCATCAAGCCTTCCTCATGCTTAATGCTGAACCAGCTCAGGGCATGGCCCACCCTGGTTTGCCTCTCTAGGTTAATTTGAAAACAATAAAGCAGGAAGGCACTGCTTTGGATCCCATCAATGCTATTAAACCAGGGCAAGTGGACATCATGTCAGAAAACAGTAATAATGCAGCAATAAAATAAAACTACATCTCTATTTCCCTTCCAAGATACCGAGCTTCACAGGATCATAACAAAATTGGTTGGATTGGAGGGGACCTCAAAGATAGTCTAGTTCTAATCCCCTGCAGGAGGGACAGCTCCCACTAGACCAGGTTGCTCAGTGTTCCATCCTGGCCTCGAACACTTCCTGGGATGTTGAACACAACATCCAACATCCTTCCATCAGATTTGGGAAGAGCCTGAAAGCTGAGGTTAGCTCGGCCACAAACTTCCCAGAGCTTGCTGGTGCTGCAGATGCTGGCACCGGGGCAGCTCTGACTTGTTGCAGGACAAGACGAGGATGTCAGCGTGTTGTGCAGTCTCTGCTGTGATTCAATACCCAAATGGTAAATATTGGCTTATGCAGCTGCTAATTCCCTCAATATTTGCTTTTGAGAGACAGAATCCTATTGACTTCACACAATCAGACAGTCTATGCATGACTGTAAATATCTCATTATGGGGGAAAAAATGATTCTCAGTTTACATTGCTGCAAACCAAAAGCGACTGCTGTATATCTACTGTGCAGTCAGAATCAGGCTCTCAGTTTAAAAGCTGATGTGCCACCCTCACTGCGGATGGGCAAATACAGACAGGCATTCCACAGGATTTAGTTAGCAGCTATGAGAGCAGTAGGCAGCTCAAGCTCTGATACCTGGCACATCCAAAAGCTGGCACTAGGATCACACTGTGGCTTTTTATGGACTAAGACATGTATTAGGGAGCTCACAGGCAGCTCCTTCCACAGTGTGGAGAGAGGAAGGAGTGAGATGGACCAGCACAGCTACAAAACCAGCGCAATACACAAACCCAGCCCACAGTCCCTTTCTTCCAGGCCTTTTTTTCTGAGGGACTGGGGGGTGCTCCTGCTGCCTGTACTGGATACCAGCAAGTACCAGCAGCTCCACAGGATCAACAAAGCCGTCTTGGTTTACTGTGACAGCTGTGCTGGACATTTTTGATGAGGCTGTAGGTCAGTGCCTACAAGGAGACACCAGACAAGGTGGCTGTGAGAGCTGAGGCTCCCAGACTCACCACTGCAGGACTGAAGTACCAGCTTGCCCTGAAAGCTTCCTCACTTGAGGGCTGCTTTGTGTGACCCAGGAAGCTCAGTGGCCCCACCACTCTGACATGACACCCTCACAGGGGCAGCACCAAACACCAAGGGAAATACAGAAGGGAACCATCGACATCACCCCACTGTCCTTAGAGGGTCATGGCAGGAAAAATGCAACATGAGCTTCCTCATGGTGAACATCCTGGCTGGCCATGGCCACTGCAGCCAGGTCTCACCATTCCCTTGCCTGGGACACAGCCCCCTCCCCATCTGCCCTTGAGCTCCTTGCCCAGTGAGGACAGCCAAAAACCAGCAGCATCTTTCAGGGACTTTTAAAACCTCGTTTCTCTGCAGTCCTGTATTTCTTCTGAGGAGGAAACTCATTGCTCCTTCCAGGTTTCTGAGGACTTGCTGCACCCCAGATGCTGAGGAAACTCAAAGAGGCACGAGGTGCTGGAGGGAGGGCTGGTGACCGGGGACTGCCACAGCAGCACTCGCTAAAAGGGATTATGTTTCTGAAATCTTCTTGCTTAACATTCCTCAGCTGGACCTTTCTCAGTTACACTTTTATTTTTTAATGCTCCCATTTCAGACTTGAGCATTAATCTACAGGTTTAGGGACTTTGATTCTTCTTTGTTCTGGTATGAGGCACTGAAGACTGCCATCAACAGACTTAGCAGCTGCTCCGGCAAATATTTGGCTCTGGGACACGAGCACCAGGCTCTCTCACAGCCTTGCCTGTCAGACTGTTAGAGGGAAAGTCTCAGAGGTGATTAGTCAACTAATATATCTAATAAGGGGTTTAAGCAGCAATCCATTATTTTTAACAATTCTGAGAATTATTTCCCTTGTAGTGCGCAGTAAAAGAGACGACAGTGCAGGGAGCAGTGGGCTGAGCATCCAATTCTCCCACCACCAACTGAATAAGGCTTATTTAGGTTTATCATCAATTTTATTTTGGCATAATTGATTGCCCAGATGTGTGGGAAGCTTTTACAAACAGCTCAGTTCCTGCTGCTACATGCTTGCAGGCTGGGCTGCAGCTATGGAGGCCCAGAGAAGGAGCAGGCATTTATTGCAGCAAAACAGGGATACACAAGTTCATCACTCTCTTTTTATTTCCCTGCAAAGGAAAAGCGGACACCGGTCTGGCTTTTGGGATAAAAATGTTTTGAAATGGGCTCAAGCAATGAATTGTTAAGGGAAGAGGGGAGATTTGGCTTACAGCTTCTTTCTGTTCCATAATTGAAAAAAAAAAAAAAATCCAGAAATAATTTGTTGTAAAAAAGTCTCTCTACGCTTTTAAAAACTGGTTCTGCTGGAAATCTATTAGGAAAAATTCTATTCCTCAAATTATGGCACCCTAAGGGGGAAAAGTTTTAGCCAAACTATTATATAAATATGCATTTTGCTCCTGATAAAATCTGTTTAATTCCAGCATCTATTAATATTTAGACAAAAGGATCTCTTTGTTAAAGCTCATACCCTTTCATTCTCTATAGGGATCTGTAGTGCATGCTCCCCATGGTCACCAAAAATCAAGGCCAACCTTTCCTGCAAACTTAACTTCAGCCGGAACTTGAGTCCCATTCCCGAGTCGCTGCCAAGTGTCCCTTGGTGTGTGTGGATGCAGCACTACTGAGACATGAGAGCCTTCGTGTGGTGCTTCCTACTGCTGCTCTTGCTTGAGGCCAGGGAGCTCCAGAGTCACTCCTCCAGCTCTGGCAACACGAGCGAGCTCGGCACCGTGGGCTGAGCACCACCAGCAGAGCCATGCGATGTTCCCGAGCGGGCAGGAACAGCCTGTCCTGCGCTCTGGAGGGAATCATCGTGCCTCACCTCACACCTCCCTGCACTGTCACACCGTGCTCCCCCCAGACTCAGGAGCCTGAAGGGCCAGTGTTAAAAAAGCCTCTTGCAAATTTAGCTGCAAGGAAGGAGGCAAGGGAGGGTTTTTAGGGCTTAACTTTCCCCTGCTGTGTCTATGTGACTTTATGGGGACAAAAGACTTCCAAGCTTTATTTTGGTAGAGATCGCTCTCACTTGGTGAGATCAAGTGCATTATTTGAAGAAGAATCTCTCCCTATCCAGCTTATATAAAAAGATAGTTTTCCCCCTGAAGACACTATTCAAATACCAGTACCTGCTGCCAGCTCATCACTACCAGTTCATATTTTGCCATTCTAGCCTTGCATTTGGGGCCTGATTTGAGACCTATTAAAGGAACTCAAGCCTTGTTCTAACGAGCAGGCCCTTAAAACACACCCAAAAGGCCGTGAAAAAATAAAAATAATCCGTTCACCAGATTTGCAGGCTAAATCTCAAATGTATTTAACACTGAACTCTTGCTGCAAAGCTTGTGGGGGGATAAAACAAACAAGCCTCGGTCCACTGGATTGCTTTAATAAAAGGTTTATTGGAAATATTTTTGTGCAGACATACAACAGTCAACAATGCTGTTCAAAGCTACAAATTGTCTAAGTTTTCTGAACCTTCTAAAAATACAAGTAAATGACCTTCATTTGTATTCAGTCTGGGAGGGAAACAAACTCCACTGTAATGCAATGCTGTATTTAAACTACCAGAGGACATTAATAGGACCTGAAAATGGTAACACTTCTAGAGGAAAAAAACCCACACACCACTGCTGCTCTGCTGGGAGCCAATTAAACATCCCCCCACAGCATCACTCCTCTCTGCATATCCAGATTAAAACGTCTCCATCTGAAACAATATTTAAGCAATTCGAGTACAGATATGACAGACAAGTGGGCACATGACTTGGCTCACTGATGAAAAAGATGCTGTTAAAGACCCTGTCACTCAAGACGCTGAATATTTGACCTCCCAGTGCAATGGGCTGCACTTTGGGGGCAGAAAGAGGGACAGGGGGAGGTTTTCAAGTCAGACAACTCTTCCAGCACACACATGTACACAGTCCCAGAGGCTTGGCTGCCTCACTGCTTTATAACTGGAGCTCTTTATAAAAAAAAAATAAATAAAAAAAAGAGTTGAGCAACAACTTTGAGCAGCTTTCCAGTCTATGAACTCTTGACGGTAAGAACAGCAAGTACCCTCATTCCCTTTCTGAATCAACATATCAGCCAGAAGGGCAGGGGAGAGCATATGCACTGTCTGGTGAATTCCATGTTTTCTAAGAAACCCTGCAGATGTTTTGAAATTGATTAATTTATGCCAAGACAACATCTGGAACATCTTCGCAGGAAAACCACCCAGTAAGGTAGTTAGGATTTAAAACAATCATGTCTTTCTGTTAATGTTGGCTTTTCCCCTTGGCTTCATTGCTCCATAATTACAAGGGTGCTGACCTTCCAGCTATGCATAGTGACAGTTTGGCAATATATTAACACTTTTCTTCATCGTTAGACTTCTGAGTGATTGCCCAGAGCTGGGATTGCCCACACAGAATTTGTCATTTACCAACTTCTGTTTCTCTTTAGTAGCTACAAAGACGCTGAAGGAGAACGGACCTCTTGTGGCAGACTTCAGGAGAACTTATCTCACCTTCCTCATACATAAAGGAAGGCTTTGGATAAACACCAGTACTCAGCCACTTTACCCTCAGTTCACACCACAAATGAGCAGGCCAAGAATCCAAATGAAGCAACCCCTGGGCTTCATACACTAACCACAAAGAGATCCAGGTCCCCAGGTTAACATGCCCCTTGCACTGGCCTGAGGGACAAGAACCTGCCCAGGAGCAACACCTAGGCAGAAGTCTCACTAACTCTTCATGACAGACTGTCAGCCAGGACTGATATAATCATATATCAGCTAGGAAATAATTCCAGTGCTCAGTTCTGGTGAGTCCATGAGGCAAAGAGGAACCAGTAACCCATTTAGCAATTTTCATAAACCAAGAAACAATTTAGCAATCTTCATAACCCAGGAAACAACCTGCTAGAGCCGAAGTATGCTAAGCAGAGGACACTTCTGGCAGGGACTCTTTCCAAGCCCAGGATTCAGCTTGGTACAAGAGAAACTCAGCTTCAGGAGGTAACCTCTGCTCCTTTCCCAGAGACACAGGAAGGAACCAAAGAAATCAGCTTTATCACAGCTCTTCATGGATGCCTGAATCCATGTGAGGAATCCCTCCCCTCACTAACCTCTAACAGCAGCAGTGGTCTTGGCCGATCTGTTTTGTTTCCCAGTCCCTTCACCTCTCCAGACAGCCCATCCAAAAGCACATTCCTGGCCAGATAAACTCAGTCAGGCTGTCTAGGTTTCCTGCAGGTCATTGAGAAGCGATCACCTTTGGGATTCACTTGTGTGGCCAAGCAGTGCAGGGCAGTTTCTGGTTTTCATTTGCCAACAAAGCTCAAAGCCTCCATTAATCTTACTGCTACATATGGAAAAGGTACCCATATGGATTTATTTTATTGTCACCTATTGTACTGACCTATCCTGTGGCCTTCTCTGGACAAACAGCTCTGGTCACAGATGCTGAAATGTAGTGAAGCCTCTCTTGGGCCTCCATAGGATACTGGGCAGAGGTGAGTACAAGAATCCTTCCTGACAGGACAGAAGGGGTCCAACTGTCTGGAGCCTGAGGAACGTGCAGGGTCAGTGCCACGTTTTAGAAGCAGACTGCTACCCAGATACACCAGGTATAGCATAGACACAGCTCCTCTCCAATCTTTCAGGTATTTCATACCATCACCATTTCTTGTTAGACTCAACAGGACACGAAGAGCTCTCCTGCAACCTGACTGAAGTTTAAGGCATTGATACTGTGTGATGATTCAAAACTAGCCTCAGTGCTTAACACTAATGAGAAATCTGACAAACCCAAGGTGCTTCTCAGGGACAAGCACCCACTCAATTGCCTTGCTCTGTTTCAAACCTGAGCTGTGAGAAGTACACTCCTCAGAGCATTTAAAGATTAAATTAAGTCATTATTTATAAAACCAAGAGAGAATGTAAAGCGAGAATCACTTATCTTCACTGATGACTGGAGGTAATGTGAAAACAGAAGATTTAGTGAGTTAGCCCAAAAGGGCAAACTAAGCCTGCAGGACAGGGACAGTGCAAGGACTGTGCACCTCTTGGGCTCTTGGGTTGTCCATAGAGGGCCAAGTTGTACCCTGTGTGGCCACTGACCACGTCCCCACATTTCACATATTCACATAAATAAAGCTTTCTCTTCTTTATTTATGATTTTATTTTTATGACTGTCTCCCAGCAAACACACTCCAGTACATCCTGTAAAAAATAATGTAATCTTGGTAACAGAAGACTTCCCTGCAGCGTCTTCTAAGAGCTGCTGGCTGAGGCAGGGGAAGAGACTGCACAGTTTTGGTATGCACTAAGAGGTGTGTAGTCTAGTGAACTGCAGATTAGCGAGGCTTGACTGTTATCTTAATTTACAGCCCATATAGTTCATGTTAGCTCTACACACATTTTTAGATACATTAGCAGCTTAGTTTGTCCCAGATACTTTTATTGGTTGTTCGCCATTTCTCCCTGACAAATTATTACTGACTTCCCATTCTAGCTCCCTACAGCAAGACCTGAAGCCCTGTCAAGGAAGAGAAAATGTCAACAGACTTCTCAGCAGTGCTCAGAGCAGCTCAGGCTCCCGCTCGCCAGCTTTAAATTGCTACTAGGCAATCATTAAAGGAGCAGCAGCTTCTATGCAAGCTGCGATTATGATGTTATAAAAAGCAGCAACTAGAGCCAAATCTAATGTGGGAAAATCACCACTTCCATCTGAACATCCAAACCCATCTCCCTCTGGTTAGTGCAGAGAGCGGCTCGGGAAGGCCTTTTCTGATGAACCCTCAGCAGCTCAGCCTGGACAGTCACGCAGAAATCCCCCATTCCTTCTGCTCCAATACCCTGTCTAGCTGATAATATTTTCACACAGCACTTTCAAAGGCTGCTGTTACTGCTCCGTGCATTTGCCCTAATGAACAAGGAATTCTGTTGATGCAGAGCAGCTGTCATCCTCCTTCTGCTAACACGGCACCCGAGTACACCTCACCATTGCTCATCAAGACAAGCAACTCCAACACCCAGTCTACGGCACATTAAATACATCAATTCCTGTAATGACTGCAAAGAACAAGAAGAATGCCAGGTCTTGACCTGGGTGGGTTCTACAGAATTAACTCAGCTAGAGATTAAGGCCATACAGTGATGATAAAGTCTGACCCACTAGCCCCAGTGTCACATACTGTATAGCCCTGTGACAAATCCCATGTGCAATTCCCATTGAGCTGACAACCAACACACGTACCACAGTCTAAGCCACCATTCACACTAGGGAGGGTTTTTGTTTGTGACACACACTGACCTCAATTTACAGGGAGGTCAAAATGATACAGCCCATAGTCTGCACTAATAAAATAAATCACATCAGATGACAGCTGCTCCTCCCCAGCACCTTTCATTATGTTCTGTAAAATTTTGTTGCCCTAAGTTAAGAACAGAAAAAACTCTGGGATCCCTTCTATTCTCTGCTTAATACATTTACTTGCCATTCTTCATTATCCAAAGGCTTTTAAAAGTTTTTCTTTCTGCAGCCTCATGAAAAGCCTCCGAATTGTTTACATGCCAGTGTTTGGCATGTAGCTTAGAGTACAAAGACTAAGCTGATCTCATTTTGCCTTGGTGGGAAGTTAATTTTCCTTGTGTTTTTACAAAAGGAAGAAACAATTAGCGGTTTTGAGGAGAGGCTTACACCACACATTTCCTAAACAGATTTGGTTTCTAAATGAAAGGAAGTGTTTAACAGGTTATATCAGCATTAAGATTTAAAAACTCCTGGGATCAGGTTTGCTCCCCCCTTATTTATTCTCTGCACTAGTATCTGTGCCTTTAAACAAAATTCCTCTCCCCGAAAATACATGCATCCACACTTGGCCCCTTGACGTTCATGCCTATGGCAAAATTATTTGCACATTTTCCTTACTGCATAATTGTCTCATTAGCACTGCAGAAAGAAGGTGATGACTTCTCCCTCTTTGTCATCAGCCTAATCCAAGACCAATCCTGACTGGCTCTGCAGGAGCAAAATTTGCCTTTTCTAAAATAGAAGGGAACTCCGAACCTCTGAGGTGGCACTGGAAATTGAATCACAGCACTTGAGTGCTGGCATTTACTCACAACCCTTAAGGAAGATTAAACCAGTAGGCCAGGCTGGAGCTTTCCTTTCCTTTGCTAAACATAAACATTCATATTCAAATTGCTTTCGGACATATTTAAATCAATAGAAAATTCTGGATGATGGTCAATAGGGCAAAAAACAACGCCAACTTTTCAAATACACAGATGTAGTATATACATTAACCATGAAGCCTGGCTTAAACGCAGCAGTATTTACTTTATACTGTTCAGAAACGTGTCTTGGCGACTAAAATTAATAGAACTTGTCTGGAGGACAGCATAAGCTTTCTAAGAGCTCTTTCAGCTTTAACTTATGCCCCAGTTTTTGCCCTTTTTTTTTTTTTTCCTTAAAATTCCAAATTTTAAATTAATTTTATGCAGCAGCATGTCCGTCCCACTGGCACAGCAAGGCCATGGAGCCAGCATTCCTTCCAGGGCTCATGGGTCTGAGTGTTTTGGGAAGCCTGTTGATGGATCATTTCTAGAAGAAGGACTGGTTTGGCTGAACAAACAAACAGCAGGTCTTCTCTTCAGAATGGCCAGCTCTGTGTGTGTCCATGTGTGTGCATGCACATGTGTAATCCCGTCCTGCCCCCCTCTGCAAATCTCCCTTACCTGGCCAGAGGAAGGCTTCTTTAGGGTTACACTATCAGCCTCCTATGCAGATGTACATCTTATCATGTACAACATATCTGACAAGATGATACCTTTAAATTAAAATTCTCACTGTTTTGTTCTACTGTTAAACTGGGAGTGGGGTGATGGAGGGAAGCCCCAGGCTGGATTTGAAGTGCACATCCAAATACATCATGAAGCATTATGAGGAGGCACCTAGTTGAGTTCATCTTTGTGTACAATGCCATGCACTCAAGACAGCTGCCCTGCCAAGCTCTGACTTCCACATCCTGGCTGTGTGAGTAAGCAATTAGTTGGGTTCCAGAAAGCTAAGATAGAACCCTAATAAATCTTGAAGGGAAAGAAATATTCTAAGTAATTTATTGCTATCTTGTCTTATTCTGTCACAAGAAGGCAAATAAGCATTTTTAGCTACAAACTGTGTTGCAATCAAAAATTTCACGCCAAATGGTCTGTTGAAAATTTCAGCCAGATTAGTAAACAGTGAATACAAGAAGGAGTAAAGTCTGCATGCAGTTGTGTGCACTTGGTCTGTGTGTAACAAAACAGGAAATCTCAGCACCCCTTCCAATTAAGCAAAGGCTGACTTCTCATAGAACATAAATTTTCTACTTTTCCCCCAGAACAACCTTATGCCGATGTTTTAAATAGTGGTAAAACATTGTTTTTAATTTCACACCTCACATAGCACAGTCAAATGCTTCATAACAACATAAACAAAACTTTAGGCAGAGAGCTTTGCGACTGAGTCAAACAATGATTTTCCCCCACAAAATGCACCCAAGGTTTGCAGGGAGAATACAGAAACTTGTTGGCTAAGGCCACAGAAATGAGTTCTCTGGTGTTCTGGCTGCTGCTGCCAAACCTAGTCAAGAATGTGTTAACAGTGGATGCATTGATCCAAATCCCATTATTCCCACCACCCGTCAAGCAAAGAATAATTTATTCTATTTCTGTTCTCCTTTTGGTTGTATCGTAGGATCGAACAACTTGCGACTGGGAAACAACACCGTGTTCTTCTTGAGAGAATGCATACCCATCTGAAAAAGCAAAGGAAGAAAAAAGAAATCAGTCACTGGAGTTGAGCTCAAAAGCACAGACGACTTTTAGGAACAGTTTCAGGCATCACTGAAGTTACGTAATTGAGACTGCAACCATCTCAATTTCTGTGCTGTGCTTCTGACGCTCAGAGCTGCACACTGCATTGCCCATGTGGCACAGAAAAGGTGTCTGCTGCCAGCTCTGTCCCTCTGCTCCCTCCCCAGGCCAGGTCAGTGCACACAGTCACCAATGCCCTCTGAGTTAACCTAATAAGCTACAGATTGATTTGAACACACTCCCATAGTACTCCCATAGTGGCAGAGCTTCTCTAAAGACTTGACAGAGAAGTAGAGATTTGCATTTTGGCTTGACTCCTCTGTAGTCTGCTTGATACCAGCAGTTTCTCTGGAGAAAGGTGGGAATGTCTAGCTCACAACCAGATTTTTCTCACATCTTCCCCTTAACTCCTCTGAGGATTTTTTACCAAATTTTCAAGTGGCATCTGACAAATGACGCTGTGAAACTCTTGATTCTCTCGGCCAGTCACTTATATTTTGCACAGAGCAAACACACATTCTGGAGGTGTCTATTTTGTTAATCCTGCTAGCTAGCACAATCCTGGGGTTTCCCTAGAAACTGCTCAGATGAAAATACCCACTTGTCTGATTTTTTTTAAAGTACTGTGGACAGGCAAGTGACACTTCTGATAGCATCTGCAGAGCACCACAATGCTGGTAAAACAGTCACAAAAAGCTAATGGGGCAACATGCTGCAACAGTGCAGGACAGCAGGAACCTTGATTTGATTACGTGACCAATCATCCCAGCATCCCATTTTATTTTCCCTGAGTGATTCTATGCCAATATACATACTGCTACAGAAGCACAGCTTTTCCTGCCTGTTGCTGAAGGTTCACAGAATACATTCATAAAGTGCAAACAGTCTTTTGGAAAAAAAGCATGTCCATACTGGATCATTGCAAAGGAAGTATGATGTACAAAACAGGCTTTCATTTTAAAACGGGTAGATTCACACTTAAACAAACACCTCCAGTTTGTTCCATGTGAAGGGCCAGCATCCTGTTAGTTTTTTTGGCTAAATTCTCCATGGATAAGTCAACTTGGTTGAAGACCACAAGCTTAAGCCCTAGAAGACTGAAGCCCATGTCCCATTACACAACTTGCATCAAGGTGGCTCTGCCATATTTACTTATCCATGAGATTATCCAGTGTAGTGGAGTCTTCAACTGCCATAACTACTGCAAACCCAGCACTGACCACACAGGTCAGTCCTGGGTTCATCTTCCCATGACTTGCTTATTCCCAGGGCTAGCACAGGCCTGCAGACAGCCAGGCAGCCCAATCACTCTGCAACGCCAGTGCAAAATTCAGCCAAAGGAACCTGTTCACCTCCCTCACACCAATAGGAAACACCTTAATGCAGCAAAAAATTTCAGGCTAAGATGATCTGTGGTTTAGAATACCAGGGGTATCCTTACATCTTCATGTCCTTCATCCATCCTGGACTACCAGCAACAAGGGTTTTGTGCATATGTCATGGGAAAGGCTGTGACCCTGAAGTTTCTCAGCTGAAGCTCAACATTTGGCAGTTCATTTAAGACTTTTCCTGCAGCTCTCTATACAGGAAGATGAGTTCATATTACATTTTTCTATTCACATTACAATTAAAATTGAACTTCAAGCTGTTTAGGCAGCTGACTGTGCCTTGTGGAATCAAAATGCTGCGAATGCTCGAGTCCCATCTGCACTCCCCAAGCAGCTCTACATTTCCACTGTTTCCAGACCCCATCCACAAACAATGGAAGTTTCCATCTGTCAGTTACTAGGGAACTTTCCAGAAGTTTGAACTTTTCCCCCAGCTCCAGTTTTAAAACCACACCTATGAGCCTGTCTTGGGAACAAGGCCCTCATTGATCAGCTGTCCTGCAGCAGCCCAAGAAAGGAGCACATTTCTTTGGAGCCTTCTGGGCACAACTCACCTAACCCTCACAGAGGAAGGACATTTATAGTCTGAGACTTTTTATTAATGGAGGAAAGAGGCACTTGTGAATATCTGTCAGTGTGGCTTGTTAAGAAGAGATTCACATTCTCATCAAATCTAAAGTTTCACTGGTACCAGGTTTATCAGGCAATCTACTGAATTTTAAAAGCATCCTGTTGGGTTTTCTTAAAGCTTTGATATTCTATGAGTAGATCCAAATCTACTCTCCCATTAGGTCTCTAATTTAATGCACTCTTTTTCTGTTCACTGCAATGGCTGTTCTGGTCTGTGCAAGGCTGGGCTACAGCAGCCACCTCGATGTGTGTGCCTTGAACACAGACAGCAACGCTGGGCAAACTCAGCAGCGCTCTCATGGACAACAGCTTCCAGAAGGGGCAGAAAGGGTCCAGAGGGCTCTTTTTATTCCAGAATAACTGCTCATGGAAGAGAGAAGAAAACATACAGTTTTAGTCACTTCAGGGATTTATTTTAGAGTCCTTCCACTCCTTGCAGTCTCCTCTGATACACCCAAATTGTCTGTCCCAGGATTTGTTTAGGCCAGCCAGCAAGACTGCAGTTGTCACTGGCAGCCCATCAGAACCCTCATCTGCTGCAGCATTTCACTAGTTCATACTGCAGTGGTATTATGGTTTAGTACAGTGCAAAGTATAAAATGCATCTTTTTGTTTGCCTTTGGAGAAAAATGCCCAGATTCAAATCCACTAAAATTTCTAGGGAGTTGGGGAGATGTGAGGGACTTTTTTTTTTTTAAATGTGTTTTAGGAAATATCACTTCTTAGATAGCAAAACTCTCTCTGACATAATGAAAATCAATATTGTGGTATCACTTGACCAGCCAAATTCTGTCTCAGGCAAAACACTTGGTTCTGCAGAGTTTTTAAGGAGATTTGCTGTGATGTCACAGTTCACATTTACCAGTTTAAAAGTGAATGCTAACTCAGCTTTGACTTCTCCAGCAACCATCTTCTATTTAACCTGGAAAAGGGAAAGCTGCCTAAAATCTTGAACAGTTTGACTAATGCTTACAGAAATAATTAATTTGTTTTCTGATAAACCATGCTTGTGCTTTCTTAAGGACGCAAGAGGAATTCCTGACAAATGATCCCATGTCTTTATTCTCAGATACCAATTACTGGTATTTGCAAGTAGAAAACACTCAGATGCCACAGCATCAAATTCTAAACCAATCATTCCTATTTCTTTTTCCTAAATTGATGCTAAAAGATTGCAACTGCACTTAACAGTTAACAAATATGTAGCTTAGAAAAAAGCAGAATAAATACAGAATATATATTATATTTCAAACACATGCAAGATAAGAGGAAAAAGAGTTTAAAAAGCATCCCAAGTAGCTCCCCTGTTGTTTTTTTAATAAAAATGCACTAGCAGAAAAGTGAAAGGTAGAAGGTGTCTGCTAGTGGAGAATAAATGGTGAGATTAGAGCCCTCAGCATGAACACATTATTATTATTTATTATTTGTCAGCCCTCATACTGTGAAACGAACCTCAGATGACAGGTGCTTTTTCTCCACTGATTAATAAGGTGCAAACCATATGCTCTGCATTCAGATTTACTCTATGAAATCACCATATTCTGTCAAAGGAAGAGGGATTTTCTTTGCTAGCACAGGAGGCCTGGGCCAAGGGCAGTAATCCTCACTCAGGCATGGCTATCGGTGTTTCAGGCGGAGTTCTGCCAAAACTGTGCTTAACCAGAGCAGGACTCAGCTCCATTTTTAAAGAGCATAGTGAGACAAATGATAACTGAACACCAGCAGGGGCATTACAGGAGGGAAACCACTCTAGAGGGATGCTGTGGAACTTTCCTAAGAGATGGAGGGTACCCCTCCCATGCTCTGGGGGCACAGGAGACACAAGTCAGTCATGCAGGAGGAAAGAGGAGGTCAAGCCATCTTTTACATCCAGAGTTTGTCTGAAGGATGTGCTACTCTCACAAAGTCACAGCAATAAAAAAGGCAGGAATCTGGATGGAGACCTGGAGAAAACCTCACTGCCAGCAAACCCTCTGAGGGGGAGTTTTTGGACATCATTATTGCTCCTTCCCTCAAGGGAGAGCCACAAAGCAAGCTGAAGGGAAGGGTCCAAAGACACATCTGAGAGGAGCCTGGTACCATCTCCTGCTCATTCTTAAGAGGTCTCACAAAGCAGATGGCAACAGGAAATGACCAATTTCACCAGGCACCTTCACCAGAAAGTGAACACAGCCTGGGGAGCAGTGTTGGCAGCACTGCCTACAAGATTGCACTGCGCTGGTTTTATATTAGCACCTGGGCTTGACAACCATATGCAACTCTTCCACTAAAGTCTCCTGACAATGCCATCCAAACAGGAGCATCACACTTCCATTTCTTTTTGTGTGTGTGTTTTTTGTTTTTTTTTTAAGTTTTCATAAACTTCCCAGAAGTTATACTGGTAGAAAGGAACCACGTGATCTTTGACAGTACAGACAGAGACAGATTTCTTTCATGCTTCTGACAGCTCTACACAACTCAGGAACACAAAAACGAAGAGCAAGAAAAACAGCTGTGAATATTTTACTTTAAGGACGTACCTTTCTAAATGGGCAGGGGCTACTCTCCAAGGCAGCCACTCTGAGCCAGCTTCTTTAATGAGAGGAGGTGCTTGAGAGACTAATCCTGGCTGGCACTGCCATGGCACTGGCAGTGTGGCTCTGTTGCCCACTTTGGGGGCCGGATCCGCAAGAGCCTGGTGCTATATGGGAGCACCCCAGCCATTACATCATGCCTTGTGCTGTGCTAATGCTTTTGGAGAAGGGCTGGCTCACCAACAGAGAGCTAAGGAAACACAGAGTGATCTTCTACCTCAGGGCTGTGTAGTCTCACCCTCAGTCAGCTCTTTCCTCCCACCATTCACCACCAGTAGTAGCCCAGAAACTCCCTGTGAGATTTTTCTCCTTTCCATGTAACTAGAAACAAAGCTGTTTGGGCATTGCTTCCTCCCATTCCTGCTTTATATGTAAGCAACAGATTCTGAGTTGAAATCACAAAAGTAATTTTTGGTTTTCACAGCCTGGGAATTTAGGGCCTGGTGGAAACATATGAACAGTTCAAGACTTCAAACAGAGTACTTGTAGTGTGATTTAAGATACCAGCCTGGCATGTCAAGGCTACTGCCCTATTCATCAACTCTTTGCCTTGAAGATCGCTAGCATTTAGTAAACAGTTGTACAATTTCGGCTTGTGAAAACAGCACATATGTTCCCTGGATTTCATGTGGCCTTGTACATATAGCAGCTATGCAACACTGGAAATTAATACTTGACAAGAGATGACAGAAGTCATGGATACATCACAAAATCATCTTTCAATCCTAACAGCTTCACAGTCAAAATTTATGTTCACGTGAAAAACAGATTGCTGATTGTAGCCTGTCCTGATTGGCCTGACTCATTTAGCACTTAATCGTTTGCATTTATAGGGAAGCTGGTTATCCAAATTAGGGTTTATTTTGATCTCATTTTTCTTTCCCAACAGCTGTTCATCTACTAACAACCTGATGATGTGTTCTTTGAGACTAAAAGCACATATGAAGTCTGACTAGTTACCTCTGGTGCATCTCCTTTCTGCACTGCTTCACAGGTTTCACAGACTGTGGTAAGTCTCCACAGCAGACTATTTAGACAGCCATTTATTTGTGCATTTTATGGATTTCTTCTGCCAATCATTGCTTTTGGAATCTCCTCAAAGAGTGTGTTTGCATGCCCAAAGCCACGTTGCTATCAGCATCTCTGGCTCCTTTATACAAAGGAGTCAATCCTTGTAGAAATATGGTCCACAGGGCTGCTCTGCTCACTGTCCTCTCTTCGCAGATGTAATGGGATTGATTGCTGAAGACCCTACACCCCTTGACAGTGGATAGCCACCTTCCAAAGGCTCTGTCAAGGACAAAGACTATCAGATCCATCACTGTCCCACCCCTTCTAGTCAAATTTTCCATGGAAAATAAGAATACCTCAGGTATTATCTCAGCCCTGCCTCCATGACCTGAGCCATAACAATTCTGCTACAGAAGGAGACACAGCCAGCAATGAAATTTGACTCCTCTGTGATTCTTAAGCAGTCAGGAGTGTCACTTCCTTCTGCAATGGCAATACAAACCCCAAATCTGCCCCTTGCTCTGTGTGCAGCAGTACAACGCCAGTACAACACCAGTTTCATCACAGGAGAGGCTGCATTTTCTCACTAGAAAGGGCTCCCTGGTCCCTCAGGACAGCATGGTCCTTCAGTGCATCTGGCTTACAGAGCTGCTAGAGATGATTTTAAATACTGTGGAAGCCTTTAAAACACTGACAAAAACCTGTCAGGTCCAGCAGACACAGGAAGATGAATAAATGGATGACTTCTACATCAGCAAGAAATGCCATTTGAAGCAGCAGTAGTAGTCACTTGTGACGTTGCTTCTCTTCCCCCAGAAGTGGATCAAGAGGGACAGGAGAGAAGCAGCTCTGCAGGCCACGGCTTTCCTCACCAGCAACACACAGAAACCTACTGGCATCCCTGAAACATCACTGTATTCTCAGCTAACCACAGCTAATATGACATTTCATACATAAATAATTTCTGTTAAAGCTAGGCTCTATCACAATGTTTGTTTCATGCAGAGTTTTTGATTTTTAGACTGTTCTTAAGACTATCAGAATTCTACCTTTAGAGAACCTGCATACTGGGGTTTTATCATTTGAGCCTGTTGATTGGATCCTAGGGAATTAACCACATTTGAGCTCCCCTTGCCTAGGGCCAGATACGCTAATTCCACTTCCAAATGTACGTGTCTTGCTTGGCAGCTCAGCCTCGGCGCTAGATTATCTCTACCTACAATTTAATTAAAAAATAATCACCCTGCGCTCCCCTCACGCGGGGCTGGCGCTGTGAAACACACACGGGGCCGTGAGCCGCTACTTACGTGATACACTTTGCTGGACAGAATGAGCACGGAAAAGGCTCGGAGGAGTTTTCCTGCCCAGCCTTTTTAACAAATGGTCACGTTCGTTCACGCTAAGGGAGACAGAAAGAGAGAAAACACACCAGTGAGTAACCAGATAATTTTCAAGTAAAAGGCAACTGTGTTTAAAGTACTTGGCAGCTTTGACTTTGTCAGTACTAAAGGTGGCTATAGCATGAAGAAGAATTTTTTTTCTTTACACTGCACATTGAGAGAACTCCTGCTTTCTAAGGACACTTTGTATAAGTCTACTTTTGGTTAATTCATTCCTAATGTCACCATCATTGTGATTTCTGAATGCCTCATGCCTCTAAATTATTACAAACCATATCAGAAGTCTGACATGGGGTGATACGGAACATTAAGAAGATTTCTCTTTAAAATTATGCACATGAACCACAGCATCCACAAAGTGCCTTAGAGAGAAGGAGCAAAGCACTGTAGCTTAGCACAAGGTAGAAGGCATCTATCACACCTGCACAGTGGCCTGAAGCAGCCAAAGATTGGACCCATCGTTAATTCTGCCTTCTAAAGAACTCTCCCATTTTAACCTCCCATATGGAAAGAAAACTTTCTATCCTATTTCTTTTATTAGAAACCTCCTTGGTTTACACAGTTCTTGTCAGAGGCATGAAAAAATTCCTGTTGAATTTACAAAAAGTGAAAATACAAACTTAGGGTGAAAAACACAGTACGCTTACAACAGGTTTAACGTACCTACAAGAATGATTAGAGCTGCTCTCCACTTCGATTTTTATAAAAACCACAATACTCATTTCATCAAGAACTTTATGCCCAGAGTTAAAAAATTGTGACTGGCCTTAAAAAGCACTTAATTATGTACATGGGTCCCACTAAGTTCAATGGGGTTTTAAAATAACGTAGGCCTTCAAATCTCATTGCATTGGAACTTCAAATAACTTAAATATCAGATTATTTTCAGAAAGGTATTAGAGTCTACTTTAGTTCAAAGTTCTCCACAACTGGTCGGTTTTTTCCATCTCACCCTTATTCCTAACACTGAGATAGAGCTAGTGCATAGAAGGGATCTGTTTGCTGGTACAGCTCCTTGCAATGCCTTTATCCCACTTGCCCCATATTTACACTCTGTCTCCATTTTCACAGTCTGCTTTTTCTTTCACATCTTTATTCACAAAGAGCAATTCCACTGATTATGCTGTAAACATGGATACACACCTGAATGCCAGTGCTGGTATCTCTCTTGGGTTAGATTACAAATTCACATGCACTGGGTGTATGAAATGGAAATCCCAGCAAGCGCAGCTGCTGCTGTCGACATGCTAACAACAGTTTAAAACAAACAACTCCCTTTCACTAAAGCAGTTTGCTAGCTTCAATCAGGAAAGTAACTCAAGAATCTCTGAGATGCCTGTAATATGTAATCCAGCCATGCAGGCTTATATTCCACTTAATAGTCCATTAGGGTAATAGCCTGGCTCACAGTCCTCTGTTCAGTGCATAATGAGGTGTCCACAAAAGAAAGGGTGGAATCCTTCTCTTTTTCCTTGTGATCTCCAAGTTCACACATCTAAAGGAGAAGCTTGTAAAACCTATGGACTCCTCCTCAAAATCTTTACAAACTCTCAGCATTTTCAGACACTTGGTCTCTTTCCCTCCTTCTCCTGGCACCACAGAATCATACCTGCAATGTGTATGGCAGCTTGGTTTCCCTGCCTGCAGTCAGTAGTATTCCCTCAACATAAAACAGAAGTGGATAATAAACTTTTGAAACAGAAGTATTGATTCCAACTGAGTTTGTCAAACTCTAACAACTCTTGGCTCATGAGACCTGCATGTGTTCAAAGAAGAAAGGATCACAGGTTTCCATTAAAACCAGGGTTACAGCATGAAAGCTTCTAAAAATCTTGGAGGACCCAACTTCTTAAAAAAACCAAGACCAGTTGCTGGCTGTAAGAAAATCAAGTAAATACAGAAAGAAGCTTCTACCTGCTCCAAGCAGGCAGCATGATGGAAAACATACTACAAAGAATCACTAGGTAAGGGTGATGCAACAGAAGGCACAAAGCAAGACATGAGAGTTCTCTAACCTTTAACCTTTTCCTTGCTTAGGAAGTTGACAGCCTGCAGAACCAGCCACTACCAGCGCATGTGCAAACCAGTGATGCTGTACAACCTCCTGCTGATGCAGAAGAGTGCTGGGTAACTTGTTTGTTTAGTGAAACACTGTCTGAACACACTGCTGTCCTGTGAATGACAGAAGTGACTTGTTCATGTTCTGCAGGTAAAGCACATATAGAAAGAGTCCTTCCTATCTCAGTAGGTGCTGTCCTGTGAATGACAGAAGTGACTTGTTCATGTTCTGCAGGTAAAGCACATGTAGAAAGAGTCCTTCCTATCTCAGTAGGAGGGTGATTTAAAAAAAGGAATCTTAAACCAATCAAAAATACTTGTTGTAGGGGACAAATAAGCAATGTTTGCCACAAAATTCTTACACTGAGAATGGAATAAACCACAGAAGAAAAATGCACAGGGGAAAATTCTTTGTCTGCTTGTCTACCATGCAGCAATAGAAGAAGTGCAGACCAATAATGCTAAGCTCCTCAGGCTTCTGCATTCAGTGTGTGGAGGAAAGAGTGCTGTCAAGGGACCTCTGAGCAGGAGTGACACACTGCAGCTCTATGAATGCCGAAGCTATGCTATCTTTAATATTGCTAACTATAATCAACAAGTTCAAAACTAAAGTCACATCTGATTTTCCCATTTGGGAAATTACACTGGATTATATCTACGCAGAGAAAGAAAAACTCACAGTAGAATTAGAGTACTTGTAGTTTGAGCTATGACTAAATAGACTGCAAGTCAAGATCAGTCAAGTACTATGTAATAAACCTTTAATACACAGAAGGTAATGCAACACAGTTCTTCTGAATTGCATGGGTATTTGATTTACCAACAGATATTAGATCTCCCAGCACAAACCATGAAAGGAAAGGAAAGTGAAGTGGCTTTCTTAACTATTACCTGTTTGCACTCATACCAAGTTCCTGCTTTCAGAAAAGGTTTCTGCCTGCTGCTAACAGGTAACAAAATGAAGACTTCTCAGTCTGCCTCACACTTTGATGCAAAAGTAATGACAACTCTGGACTCACAGGCAACAGGTTAGGCCTTGCTTACAGAAATATTGCTTGTAACTCAATCCCAAGCATTAGCCATGATTTTCAGATTTAATTCTGCTTTCCACTGACTGAACCAGGGCTAAACACTCCCATGGGGTCTAAGGATGGCATCTTCAGATTCACTGAGGCAAAAGGATTAGGGATCATGAAATCCCACTCTGAATACTGGACAGTTGTGTTCATATTCAGGAACTCAAAAATCTTGTCAGAATGGAAGAAATCACAAACCCAGACATTCTTATGGAAGTCAGTGACATGGAAAGGGAAAAGTGAAATATGCTTTAGCTGGTTAGTCAGTGACCTCTGAGGGGGTAAGGGAGAGGCACCATCTATCTGTAATGATACAAAGGACAAAGGACACAGACAAAATGCTTTGAACTAAAATACTTGACTAAAACAAGAACTATTAAAAGATCCCGATTCCAAGGGTTTCTATGAAAAGAAAAAAAGGGATTTAAAAAATCATTAGTCAAGTCAGCTAAAATCAGATTTAGTTGCTATCAATAATGCAGAATACCTGAGGCCAGGAATACCTTTGTGATGACTTCATAAGAGGGTCAAGATGACTTCTGCCTGCCTGGAAATTTGTGCTAGCAACATCACACAAATTCATTAAGCGAATGACAAATCAAAAGGTAAACTAAAGGCATGTTATTTCATAACAATGTGCTCAATTCCATGAATACAATGACTCTTCCATCTTCCTATCTGAATTGCTCTAAGGTGTCAATGGAGACCTTCATTTTATTTTTGTATTCTCTTCTTCTCATCCCTCACAAAAGCAAACAGCCCTTAAATCTAGGCAACAAACATCTGGCTTTACACATTCAAATGAGGTGCATCAAAACAAACAGAATAATTCAAAGCTGACCACAAGGTCCTGCTGTCTCATTTGCTCAAGTAATTAAAAAAAGATGAGCTTCACCACCAATTAATCTACTGAGCACTAATTAGCGTTAATGAGGATTTGTGGTATTTGGTATAGCTTGACCCACAATGTTCTCCTGAGTCCACTAATTGACTGGTGGCAAAAGCAGGGATCACAAAGACCGGAAGGTTAAAGTGGATGCAGGTGTTTCTTACAATTGGATCTTCCCTGAGAAAACACACACATATCCCAGCTTAAAAAAAAAAGGAAAATAAAAATTCAGAGCCCTCCTTCTCTTACAAAAGCTGAATTCTTGTTTCTGTTTTGTTAACTATTTTCCAGAGGAGATACACAGCTGAAGCACGCCAAATAGGCAAATACACTAAGTTGCCACTGGTTTTAACTCACTGCCCTTCTAGATTATGAAGAATTCAGTCAGATACAGATATTTGAAATTGTTTGGTTTGTTTCTGTATTCCCCTTTCCAGAAGGAAGAACTGAGGTGCCTAGTGAAGCCTCCCCAGGACAGCTAGAGATGACACAACTAAAGCACGCAAGCACACTTCCCAGCTGCTACCCCCATGTCAAAAATGTGCCAGGAGCTCATGGCAGAAGCTTGGCTCTCCAGTGCAAGGTATTCCGTGTCCATGGGTAAGCCCAGAGGACAAGAAAGCTGCAGCTGTTTTCCCTATCATCATATGAACACCTACAAAGCCCTCACCACACTGCCTGCAGGTGTAGCACCACTGGTTCTTCTACTCTACAGTGGTGCTGCAGCAGGCAGCCATGGGGAAACCATTGTACAGCTTGGTTTAAACCAGAAAATCCACCAAGGCTTAGGCTGAAGTTCTGCCCTCAACTCCACAGCCTCCCTCCTACCCATACATCTTTTCAAAAGAACCAGCAGGTAAATCCTTGTTCAGTCTCTGCTTCCACTGCCACATACTCTGCTAAAGACAGCCTGAGAAACTCTGGCTGGCCTGCATTATTCTCCTGTTGGAGGAAACATCTTGCAACGTGTCGCCCT